TGTCTTCTTAGTATCCTTTGGTAATTAATAGTACAGAAGCCAGGGTTTTCTCTTCCCGTTTCCTGGAAGAGTTGTTTTAAATGAGCTTATTTGTTTCTTTATTGATTGTTAGTGTTCCTCTGGGAAGCGGTGTGGACCTGGAGGTTGTATGCACCTGCTTGTGGGTAGGCTGCTTTATAAATCGGTTTTTAATTGTGCATAAAATCTTAGTAGAAACGACTAGTCATCTATTCTACACTCTTCAGTTTTATGTCATTATGTCTTTGTATTAATTTGCTGATTCCCAATTTTAAATGTATTAGCTTACATTTATAATATTAAAATTGTCAGAATAACTTCTCATTATCCTTTTATTCTTGATATCAGTAACCTGTGATTGGTGTGTGTGTGTGTGGCAGGTCTCCAAGACCATGCTCAGACTCTCATTTACTAGAAGAATTTTTCAGGACTCAGAAAAATAGTCTGCTCTTGCTTATATTAATAACGGGGAAGGATTCTGTTCCAAATTAAAACATACACGGGAAAATGTGAATGAGGTAAAGTCCAGGAGAAAGCCTGTGCGTGCTTCAAGTTGAGGCTTATGGGAACACCATTCTCCTTTAGAGTGTTAGAGTGTGACAGACTAGTCAGCCATGCAAACAGCTACACAGCTCTGTGGCTGCCCCTAGTAAGGGCCCTGGTCAGCAGGCTCAGGTGGGCTTCCCTGGTACTGGCCTTGACTTCAGGCTCAGGTGGGCTTCCCCAATTGACACACTTTGTGGTCCTGTCATGGATCAGAAGTGGGACAATTAAATACACATAGATGATCCCACTAGCTAGGTTTCAAAGTTTCATTTGATTTTACAATCTTCACCTTTTAATGGGGACATTCAGTCTGAATAAATCTGATATATGCATTTGTATCTACACCCTTATTTTCCTATTTATTCAATAGTTTTAAATTCATGTCTTCTATGTTGCTTATTTGAGGATTTTGTATTTTGGAGTATTTCATTTTCTACTAATTGTTGGCTACAAATAATTACATTGTACTATCCAGATATTATAATATGAATTCTTCATTTCCTGTAGTACAAGTAAGATTAATATTGTCATCAATATCTGCTTTATGCAAAAATCTTAGAAAAACTTGTGTTTTCCATCTGCATTTTTATTTTATTTTTTATTTATTTTTTGTCTATATTTTTACCCTTTTAAGACATTACTTGTGTAGACAGAGTTTAAACTTGCGTGTATTTTTACATGTTTTCTGCTGTTCCTGTTTCTCTCATGTCACTGTCGGATTGAACGATCGATCTGCTACTCCCCCTGACCCTCACAGGGACCACCACCTCATTGCTTCTTTTAGTATAGATCTACTGCTAAGATATTATTTCAGATTTTGTTTGGCTGCACGTGCCTTTTTCTGCCTTCACTCTTTAGAAGGTATTTCACTTTCAATAGGATTTTATTCAAGGCGGCAAGTTGTCTTTTCTCAGCAATTTGAGAATGCCTCCCACTGTCTCTGGCTTTCGTTACATGTTGGATTTTCTGACAGTCTCTCTGCTTCTCTGCAGGTAACATGTCTTCAATTCTCAACCCTCCCTCCAAATACATGCTTTCTAATTTTTCTTTGTTTCTGTTTTTTTTTAAGATTTATTTTTATTTTACATGTGTGTTTTGTCTGCATGTGTGTAAGTGCACAGCATGGATGCAGTGCCCTCAGAGGCCAGAAGAGAGCATCAGATCCCCTGAAAGTGGGTTACAAGTGTTGTGATCGGATCAGCTGCTTGAGTGCTAGGACCAGACCCTGGGTCCTCTGTGAGGGCAGTCAGTGCTCTTAACTGCAGAGGCATCTCTCCAGCCCTTGTTTCTGTTTTCTTATTGTCTGTTTTTGTAGTGTTGGGGACTTGAACTTGGGACCTTGCACATGCTAGGCAAGTACTTTCCACTGAGCTACATCTCTAGCCTTTAATTTTGCAGTAGTTTTACTCTGATATACCTAAGCATGTGGTTTTTAAGTATTTTGCTTTCTATTTACCCTCTTTGGGATTAAGAACCTAAGAATTATTCAATTTGGGGAAATCTTGGCATTCTCCCTCTAAACAATTTTTGTAGATCCATTGCTTTGCTCCTCACCACTAGGACGTTAACTATTTATGTTAGACGTTGTGTATGTCAGCCATTTTTAAATTTCTTCCCACACTTCAATCTACACATGTTCCACTGACTTGCCTTTTGCTTTACTAATTCTTTTGCCAGTTCATTTTACGTGTCATTTAGCACCTCTGTTGAGTTCTTAATTTTCATTTTTTAATTTAATTTTCATATTGAGAATTTCATACACAAGTAATATATTTCCATCATTTCCCCCTTCTCCCCTCGAGCTCCCCCAGCATGTCCACTCTCACGTTCATGACCTCTTCTTTGATTATTTTTGTTATACACATATGTATGTACACACACACACACACACAACCTACTGAGTCCATTAAGTGCTGCTCGTATATATGTGTGTATGTGTGTGTGTTTAGAGCTGACCACTTGGGATTGGATAATCTATCAGGAAGCTTGTCCCAGGAGAAAACTAATTTTCCCTTCCTCAGAGGTCATTGATTGCTTGTAGCACCTTGTCTAGAGGAGGGACCCTGTGTCATTTTCCCCATCCACAATGACATTTCGACTGGTGTTGTCATTAGGTAGGTCTTGTTAAGGTAACCATAGTGTCAAGATCTTGTGGGTGCAGCTTCCTTGTTATGTCTAGAAGATGCTGTCTTAGAGCAGGCAGCCTGGACCTCGGCTCTTACAATCATTTTCCTCTTCTGCGATGTTCCCTGAACCCTAGGTGAAGG